CTACTGATGTGTGGACCGGTTTCATGTAAGTACGGTTGCAATACTTCTGTTCCCAAATGAGATCTAGTCTGAAGCAATAGGGATTAGGACCTCAATTTATCTCTTGGGACATACAATTAACTCACATAAATTGTTGAGCTAAAATAACCCCGGACCTCCCAAATAATATGCAAATCCGGCAAGGGGGAATCTAGGCAATGTATCCAGTTGTATGCAGTGTCACTATGACTGGCCTGGGGGTGACTGTTTTTATTCACAGGGCTCCGGTGCTGCTCCCCAGAGCTGGAGGAGACAATGACAACAGCATGACTATCACCCAGGGTGCCCCCACTCAGATTTGACTCGGCAAGCAGCAGGCCTTCCTTAGAGGCACAAGCTCTTTGCATATATAACCACCCTGACGTGACTCCGGCTGTCATACACTTCACTGGCTCTAAGACCCTCTCTGGTCCCAGCCTCTTCTGTGAGAATAACACTGCTGATACAACACCCTGGATGACATGCGGGAACGGAAGGAAGGAGGTGCGAAAGTCGCGAAGGAAGTCAGTGATAATGGCAGCAGTGTTGTTGCCTCAGCAGAACCAAGTCCCACCTTTCCCATAAAAGCCTGTCGTTAGCACGCGTGTCTTCTCCGTCTATAAAGGCACCCTCAGAAATCACACGACCTTCCCCTCTTCCAACCCAGCCCAGGTGGCCGTGTGAGTGGAACTATTTGTGGCCCTTTCTGCACTCCTTTGGATCGTCAAGCAAATCTGCTACCTGTTACAAGGCAAGTGAAGGGACTCTTCCTCTTTTCACGGACCACAGGCTGTCCTCACTTATTGTAGGTGGCGCTGTTCTGGGGTTGTGGCACCTGTATCTAGTCACTGAGCTCCTGAGTGTGATGGAAGCTTGGTGGCAGCCAATGAAGGACTGTGTGGGACACTGGTCCCAAGGCACACAGTGGAACAACTGTCTTCAGCATGGACAAACAGGAGGCCCAGGCACGGCTAGCAGGCTTTGTGTTTTGCTTCTTAGCAAAGGGTGAGCCACAGGTATGGCTTTCACCTATCCTGGAGCTGCCTATCCATTCAGGTGAACTGAGTTACCCCCATTAGAACTAGTCAGGGTTCGGAGAGTAAGATGTGAGTATAGGCAGTGATTTCAGCCTCCTGCAGGTTTGCTTCCCCAGAACCGAGGTTCACCTTGTCTCCCTTCTCTGCTCTCTATACCCAGGTCCTGGGCTGCTCAGGGTAGGCACCTCTGTAGGTCAAACTGCACCCCCCTGCCAAGTGCTTTCCACTGGACAGACTCATGTTGTCTTCCCACTTAGGGAGGGAGCTGTCAGCCATGGCTCCACCAACAACTAGAGTTAGAATAGACTATTTTCCCTGGAGCCCACGGCCCCCTCTTGGCAGACTAGACACTCTCTCTGTCTCCCTGGAAGGGCATCCCAGGCTCCCAGTGGAGCCTTGTGGGGACAGAGCTCTCCAGGGAGCAGTGTGGCTTGCTGATGGAGAGGCCAACAGTTTTGTCTATTTCCTTTGGAATCTGCCCAGGTGATACAATGTCATTGACTGGGCTGGGGTACAAAAGGCATTAGGCAGAGAGTCCAGAGGGCAGTGTGCACAGTTCTGGCCACAGACTCCAGAATATGTTGTTACTGGCTACATCCATTCCTACTTGGCAAGGGGTCTTTGGACCAGATTTTATTTTTCAGTCTGGATTTAATGTGCAAAGCACCCTGGGTTAGAATAAAAAGGCTGGTGTCTGGCCAGATGGCAGGGCTCAAGGTTATGTAGGGATTGTACAACTCTGGAGGATCCACAGCGGTGAGGAGGACCGGTGGAGTCACCATCAAGAAGGCCAGAGCTGGGTGACAGAGAACAGCGGCTCCCGAGTGATAGAGTTTCCCTCCAGGGCCACATGGCAGGCCTGCACAGAGTGGGAGATGGAGCCTGGCAACCAAACAGCAGCCACACTGTTGGGAAGCAAATGTCATCTACTTCCTGAGGCTTTACTGACTAGAACGCTGCAGGGCCAGGCTCTCACTGATCAGCCAGCGGTCCTCCTAGGACCACCTTGCATTGAAGACAAAATTATCAGCTTTCTGTTGCTAATTCTCAGGCAGTTCTATGTAAGGTATATGATTCAGTGTTATTTTTATTTTTAGAGGTCTGTAGCCATTGCCATGATCAACTTTACAATATATTTATGATCCTCTCTTCCCCAGATCTATATTCTGAGCGGTCATGGGCCTTTGCTGTTCCCCAACTCTGGGCACCATAGCATGTGTCCTTTCTGTTTCGACAGGCTGGCCTGCCGGACTTCCACAGTCCTGTTTCTGCATCCAGGCACCTGGCCAATGGGGACCATGGTGTGGCTGGAATGCTTGGGCAGCTGGATGAGGACACAGATCCACAGTGTTACCGTCTCCTCTTCTGCACCAATTTCACTCCCCGAGTCTCCCTGCTACTCACTGACGAACACCCTGAACTAACAGAACCCACAGACACGGAGGTCAGGGTGACTTTGCCAAACCCTCACTGTGGGACCTCCATAAGTCTCTGAACACTCGTGGAGCTGTTCCTCATCTACAAACTAAGATGCCTCCGGAAGTCTTCCTCCTTGTCTCTCGTGGGGTTCAGCCAAGACAGAGGTGTGAGCCCACTACCCACACACTGCCATGTGCAGCTAACTCCTTAGAAGCCCAGCTCTTCTGAGCATACCAAACAGTGAAAAGCTCATCTTCCTACCCGTTAATCCGAAGCCCTCCCTCTGCCCAGCTCCAGCCTCCACGTCTGGAGATGGGTGCCTGCTGCAGAGCTGAAGAGACACCACCCTAGATCTCCAGAGGGGAGCTGGGCCTCTCCACAGTTCCTGACAAGAAGGCAAACCAACTGACCCTGGGCTGGGCATGACGTCATGCACAGTGTAGCACTGCTTCCTCTCAGGCATCTGGATGGACCTTCACGTGATAACTGGTGGGTGAAGACGGCCCTCAGTGAAGGGCTGACTCTGCGCCGCCCTAGCCAACTCTCCTGTTTACCAGTTTCTGTCCCTGAACAATTTGTAATGAAAACTGTGACAGCACTATGAGTTGCATACCGGAAGTTACCTGAGACAGGCCTGGGGTGACCAGCGATGCTTCAACTGCTGTGAGTAATCTTAGTGAGATCATCATTACGGGTCACGTGGATTCTAGGCTGGCTTCAAATTCAATGTGTGACTGAGTATGACCTTGAACTTCTGATTTTCCTGCTCACATTTCCCAAGTGTTGGAATTGTAGGTGTGTGTGCCACTGCACCCTTAAAAATACCATTAGCTGCTGTTGGAGAGGGGCGCAAAGCCCCTGTGAGGAGCACTGGTGTCTGCCAGGCACCACCACCTCCCTGTGCCTCAGTTTCCTCGTGTTTAAAATATGCATAAAACGATGTCAAGTTCAGAGTGCAGCTGAGAAGTAACAAGCTCATGCTCCGAGCAGTGTCTGGGGGAAACGGAACCACAGAGACACCCTACCATCCCTGAGCAGTGTCTGGGGGAAACGGAACCATAGAGACACCCGTAGCATCCCTGAGCAGTGTCTGGGGGAAACGGAACCATAGAGACACCTACCATCCCTGAGCAGTGTCTGGGGGAAACGGAACCATAGCACCACCCCTGCCATCCCTGAGCAGTGTCTGGGGGAAACGGAACCACAGAGACACCCGTACCATCCCTGAGCAGTGTCTGGGGGAAACGGAACCACAGAGACACCTGTACCATCCCTGAGCAGTGTCTGGGGGAAACGGAACCACAGAGACACCCGTAGCATCCCTGAGCAGTGTCTGGGGGAAAGGAACCATAGAGACACCTGTAGCATCCCTGAGCAGTGTCTGGAGGAAAGGAACCATAGAGACACCCGTACCTGAACAGTAGGGCAAAGGGAAACACGCAACCACAGCGCCACCCCTGAGCAGCTCTCCAGGAACCTTCCCAGTCACCAACCATGGCTGGCTATCTTCCTTTTGCCTTCTCTCCCTTGCCTGTTTCCTATTCTCTTATTTTTCTGACTTACAAGCTAGCCTCCTGCTTTCCACTTCCTTCCAACAGATTGCAATTGCAGAAGTTAAAGACTTGAGACCCGGAGCACAAATCAGAGGTAGGATGCTTGCATAATACCCATGAGGCCCTGGGCTCCATTGGCAAAACAGCATGCCCACAAAAAAAACATTAAATTTTTTGAAACAGTGAAATTATTCCATAGCTCCTCCTGTAGAATGCAAATGTTCGGGAGAAGGGTAAGACCTGCCATGAGGAAAGACCAGGGACCCATTCCCCAGGGTGACTCTGCCTGCAAGACCTAGCTTACCACATTTCTTTCTTGTTGCGTGTTTCCAGCAAGATTAAAGCAACCCCAGCAAATGCCAGTGACCCCATTGCCTGGTGCCTGGATTGAAATTCCATTTCTGCCTTTGAGTTTTAGGAGCAGTGATTCCGAGGTTTCAGGGGAATCACAGATGAAATACAAAGAGCCAGCAAAGGGAGGTGAGGCTGCCGATTATCTCCCATTGCCTGTGGCTGCTGCTGACTGTGTTATCATTTATCACAGCTCCCTGCCCCCCCCAGCCCCCACCTCCGCCTTGGAAAAGCATCAGTGTTAGTGAGTTGCATAAATATCCCAACCAGCCCTGGGAAGACAGCCCGGCTCAGCCACCTGGAAGGTGCATTTGCATCCAGCTCCTTCCTAACCTTTTCTGTGAAACGACGCAGAGACTGAGCAAGATGGTGCAGCGTCTCCCAGGTGCCTGGGACAGGATGTTTGAGCCCAAACTCCACCTTTTCTGTGGAATGACGCAGAGGCCAAGCAAGATGGTGCAGCGTCCCCCAGGTGCCTGGGACAGGACGTTTGAGCCCAAACTCCTTGACTTTTACAGTAGTACACAAGGGCAGGTACCTTATCTGGGCCCCTCGAGCAGCAGTCTCAGCTAGTGATGCAGTCCTGTCCCGGGGATTCTGGGCATGCGCAGGCAGGCATGCGCATGCTCACATGAGCAGGAGGGGTCGAAATCTCAGGAAGAGGATGACCAGGTTGGAAGAGACTTCAAGGGTGTCTTCTCCACTTGCTCCACTCCCATTTGACAGGGCAGACGTGGACACCCAAGGTAAGGAACAGACCTGCACCTGTATCTACCCCGACTCTTGCTTTTCTCCATTGTCAAATGCGCAGTCGGCCATTTGTTGAGAAGGTCTCGTGAGAGCCTGGGCCTGAGACACAGCAGCTGTCCAGTTATTCAGTTATTCTTTCCCCGCAACCTTCCCACAACAGGCAATCCTTTTGTTTTGTTGATGTGCTCCTGAACACTTAGTGGGACCACAGCCCCCTACCAAACACTGAGGGCCTGTATTCGCCAGGGCACACGGTGGGGCCGTGTCGGTCCTTACTCATTTACTCAACAAATTCAGCCGGCCATTGAGGCCTCTCCTGACTCAGGAGCGAACAAAACATTGATGGAAAGAGACTGATCTGAGCCACTCACTATGTTCACAACTGGTTAAATAGCCCTGCAGACAGGTGTCTGTATGAGTTGATAGCAGGCAGTCATTCAGGATGATATTCCTGAATTAGGTCTGTTACACCCAGACAGAAGGATGGAGAATCTGGCCAGTGATGCATGGGACTCCAAGTGAGGGGTGGGGAGTGCAACCCAGGAAAGAGGCTTGCCATGTTTGAGGAACCATAGATAGGATTAATGAGAAGTCCAAGGGGTTGCTTTTGTGCTTATGTGTTGCAGTTGTTTAGTTCACAGGAGGACAAGGTAAGTGGCCCCAGAGCCCTGGGAGGAAGGACCACTGGAGTGAGTAGCAGATGAGCCAGGCTATACATACAGACCCTGATCCCAAGCTATGTATAGAGATCCCGATTCCAGTCCACTGATCAGATGAAGGTAGGAGTTGTTGCAACTCTCGAGGAGTCAGTGGGATGGGCTTTAACGAGACCTCTGACCCTTGAACAGCCCCACCAGTATTGCCTATTAAATAAAACACCTGCCTCTCCAGCTTGCCCCCAGAGCTCCGTCAAAGGGGAGTCTGCTGGTCGTTTCATTGTGGATTGAGCTTCAGGAGCCATTGGGAAATCCAGTAGATGGTGTCTCTTGGGTTATGTGTCAGGTTAATTTTCCTCCCAGGAGCTCCAGGTATGACAGTTAAGAGCTCCAGAGACAGACTGCCTGATTCAAAATCCAGACATTGCCATCTCTTGCCCGGGTGACCTCGGGCCACTCTTTTGAACTCTCTGTGTCTTGTTTATATAACGAGGACAACAGTTTCCTCACTGGTGGGTTGGTTAAGGACCAGATGAGCCAACACACATGTATGCAGGGCCCTGGGAGTCCTACATACATGTGTATACATACATAAAGCCTAAAAGCTTAATGGCACTCATATCTTTAATATTAGCAGTATCATGACCTTGTCATACCCACCTGTCTGCTCCAGAAGCCAAGCCAAGCCTTCCACATACTTCATGCCTAAGTTCCCATGAATTGGAGGTACTAATCCTCAATTTCTAAATGAGGAAACAGGCTCTCAGGAATATAACAACACAGCTATTAGTGTCTGAGGGAGGAGTCAATCTTTCTCTTTCGAAGCAGCCCACCTCCATATTCCTATCCCCAATTAGCCACTCCTCAGCAAAATCCCCTAAAACCATGTTATTAATGACAAACATGAGCTTGGCATCCACTACCCGTGGTTGGTTCGCAGATTTTTCAGTAGCTCTTGCCCCTGGAGAACTCTCCAGGGAACCTTCATTAGCATACAATTCTTTGGGGGAAAATGAGACAACAGCTGGCCCTGCCAATCTCCATGGCAACACTCCAGTAACTACAGACTCCAGTCAACAGGAAACATTTATATATACACACAAGCTCGATAGGTACACTTGACTGCAATATTATACACCCATAGACTTCCTGATGACGAGCTGCTGGGATTCAAAAATCCCTGTTCCTTGTTGGATGTGTCAAAGAACTCAGTAAGCTGGCCCAGGGAGGGAGAGAGCATGCCAGAGAGAATATCCCACACTGGCCCCATCTACTTCTCTCTGTCAAGGTGCCAGAGAGGAGCCTGGCAGGCCTGGCAGTCACATGACCTGTACCAATGAGCACGAAGGCCTTGCACTATGAAAGGCTGGCTTTACTTCTTACTGGAGCCATCTTGACATTGTTAATGACGTTTGAACAAGGGACTCTGCATGTCTGCCTTGAGGTGAGCCCCCCAACTCACGGCCAGTCCTGGGTGAGAAGAGGGCTGTGGAGGTACACCTCTGCTTTCCAGGCCACATCGCTTTTCCCTCTCCCTCTGAGCTCTGCCAAGTCGCCCAATATTCCAGGTCAAGAGCTCCACGTTGTCAACGCTCAATGCCCTTTCCCAGTCATGGGCTCCCACGGGCACACACGTTTCAGTACTTGCTCTCCAGCTGGTGGCACTGCTTTGGAAGACTGTAGAACCTCTAGGGGGTGAAGGCTTGCTGGAGGAAGTGTGGTGAAGGGACTTGGGGATCTACAGCCCAGTCCAACTTCTTGCCTGATGGCGCCTGATGGCGCCTGATATGGTGTGACCAGCCATCTTGCACCTGATACGGTGTGACCAGCCATCATGTGTCTGCCACTGTGCCTCCCTGCCATGGTGGGCTGCATGCCCTCTTATACCCTGAGTTTATTTAACTCTCTCTTCCTCAAACTCCTTTTGTCAGGTGTTAGCCAAGAGGAAAGTTACTAGGATATCCCCTAAGGAATGTAGTCATGCCAATGTCACCAGAATCAAGTGTGGGCTCTCCCTGTAGGCAGTGGCTGCTCTGTAATAAGTGGTTGCTAGGCGCCAGACTCTGTACTCTGCTGGAACTGATGTTGTTTCAAATATGGGAGATGATGGGCAGGTACAGTCAGTCCTGTTTCGCAGCTGGAAACAGCAAGGCTCGGGGAAATTCAGTAACTTGTCTCAGGTCACACAGTACATCAGATACAAATCCAAGGAACCTCTTTAAAGGATCTGGCTCCCAACCCTCTGCTCAACATCCCTGACAGTTGCTGTATTTGACTCATGCCCAGCACACTCTGTGACATCCAGCTTCCTTGTTCCCTTGCCCCAATTTATGCATGGCTAAGTAAGAAATCTTGGGAGTGGGCAATGCCATGATTTCTGTTAAGTGGATAGAGTTATCTTCAACATGAAAAAAGGCCCAATCACCACATAGAGGGGAGCCTGAGGACCCAAAACTGAAGAGCTTTCACACTGTGAAAGCAACATGGTGTCCCCAGGCTCAGGGTCTGTTCCTCCTAGCTGAGGTTTGGTTCCTGTACGTGCTAACCCAGTATCCTTCCACAGAATGTCCCGGTTGCTAGTCTGTTCTAACATGCTTTAGTCAACTATAACCAAAGAAGGCCCAGCTAGCCTAGTGGATGCCCACCAGGGAGCTAGGATGGGGACCAGCCAGAGGCTGAGTTTTGACACTGGACAGACTTGGATATGAACCTTGAATTTTGCTATGTTCGATCTAAAGACCGGGGCAAGCAGTTTAGCCCTCTCAAAGCTCAGGTTCCTATTTAAGAAATTGGAGAAATAATGCAACTCTCAAGGCAGCCATGGGGATTTAATGAGACCGTGCTGAGTCCACTCCACACTGAAGCTGCTAAAAGGCTGATTCACTTTCCCCTTCTTTCATGAGGGAGGGATTACTGTAAAGACGGGCTTGACCTCAGCTCCACACCGAGCTTGCCTGGTTGATTACAGAGCACCGTTACTCACTCTTCCCTCCCAGCCCGAGGGAGGAGAAAACAAGACCTGAAACGTCTGCCGCCGAAATCAAAACGTCAAGAACACCTGTCCCTCAAGGCTAACACACAGATGTCATAGATCAGCCTTCCACTTTGGACCCTTCCTCTGGGCTGGGAATGTGCTTGCATGGGAAGCTAGCGTCTCCACAAGAGCAGGGATTCCCATCTCTCCATAGCTGTCTTGAAGGAGCGTTTGGTTTATTGCTACAACTTGGAGCCCTTGGCAGATAGGCTCAATGTTTCTATTACATAACAGGACTAAAGCCTTGACAGTTCCTACATGCAATCATTGGGAGCCAAGGAAACTCACATGTGAATAAGCCGGTAGCTCACCACCAGTTGAATTCCATGCCTGACCTTAGCCAATACCTATGATTCATTCTGCTGAGCCTTGCTTGAGCTTGGGATCCTGACACACATGACTGAGAGTTATAATAAAACATAGTAAGATGGAGTTCAAGGCCAGACTGATCTGTAAAGTGAGTTCTGTTATGCAGAGAAAAACCAAAAATAAATAAATAAAAATAAAATGGTGGATGTGTGTGTGTGTGTGTGTCATGTGTATGTGCGCAGGAGTGCAGGTGACCACATAAGCCTGAAGAGGGCGTCAGGTCCCCTAGAGCTGGAGTTTCAGTTGTAAACTGCTCAGTGTGGGTACTGAGAATGGAACCCAGGTCCTCTGCAAGAGCAGTAGACATTACTAAGCCATCTTTCAAGTCCCAAATGGTGATTATGTTAAGCTATAATGTCTTTGGGGGTGTGCCTCCTTCTTATATAATAAAATTTCTATTAAGCAATTGTTACCATTTGTAACAGACAAGGGAATCATTAAAACAAGGGAAATAACTTGTCCAGACAGCTGAGCCATGTGTCTGGAACACAAGACTTAATTTTAGTCTTTTTTATCAATACTATGAAAACGTGTAATCATCAGCTAAGAGAGCCATTAATCATAATTATATCCGGGTGTGGGCTGGGGTTTCTTGTAGCCCAGGATGCCTTGAATTCATTCATTATGTAGCTAAGGATAACCTTAAATTCCTGATCCTCCTGCCTCTATCCATGAGTATTGGGATTACAGACATACATCACCATACACAGTTTATACAGTGTTGAGGATGGAGCCCAGGGCTTTGTGCATGCTAGACAGATACTCTATCAGCTGAGCTAGCTTTCCAGCCCTATCAGCTTTAATTTTAACTACAGTGACAGGATCTAGCCTTTCCAGTAGTAGTCTGAGGTCAGAAGAGCTCTTGGACTCTATTCTAAGTGCTTCATGGCCACATTCAACCCTCATAACAACCCAACAAAGTAGGCGCTACAATAGCATCTAACTTATAAGTAGGGAAACTTAGTAAGAATATAGTTAGAGAAGAGAAATACAGGGATCCTGAATCCTGAGATCCTGGTTTTAATGTGAGGCTCAGTGTTACACATGGCTTCTGCCGTGAACTCTTAAGTCTGAAAAGGTCCCAGAAGCTCCTAGGAAGATGGAGAGCCACCCACGGGTCACTTACAGCACACAGTAAAGCTAAAAAGGACATAAATGCCTCCTATCCAATTTGGTGAAGGAAAGAATAATTTTTGTCTACTGAATCCCTACACAGAGCAGCCAGGGCCACCCAAAGCATGCCACAATTAATTTCCCAGTGTGTGACATTGCCTGTGGGGAGAAGAGGCGTCAGCTCATTTCTTATTCATGAAGTCACACTGCCTAGCTTCATTTGCATGAAGCAATTTCTGTGACTGCGAATCCACCATAAAATAAATCCATTTCTCCTCCAGGATCTGTGCTCTCCACCAAGAGAGATGAGTAAGCAGTGTGTGCTGGGGACACACCCTCTGGACCGTTTTAATCAGGAACTTGTCTGCAGCTAACAAGGACTTGATTTCATAGGAGTCTAAAACGTCTTAGTTTCAACATATTCAAATACAGCTCTGCCACAAGATGCGCTTAGGGAGTGTGGAGAACTCCTTTCTGCTGAGCTAAACACAGATTTTACACACAATGAAGTGTGCTTCACTGGGGTGGATGGAGGCAGGGAAATCCTAAGAAGAGAGGGGAGTAGTCTCCTGTATCCCCCACTAGAGAATTTATTGGAAATGTGCATGACCCTTTGGGGCAAAATTGTGTTCTCATGAAGATGTCTCGCCCCATCCAATGGAACTGTGGCCATGCAGAAGAGACTTTTCAAATGCAATTAAGATTAACGACCTTGAGACAGATACGACATACTGGATTATCCCAGTGAGCCAGATCTAATGGTATGATGCTTGGGAAGTAAAGAAACATTGCTGATTTCAGGGTCAGGGAGATGGCTCAGTCAATAAAGAGCTTTGCCATACAAATATGAAGACCTGAATTTGATCTCCAGAACCCACATATAAAAATGCTGGGCATGGCAATGGCGAGGTACACTTGTATTCCCAGTGGTAGGGTGATCAGCACAAGCAGATCTCTGGGGCTCACTGACTAGCCAGTCTAGCCTACATGGTAAGTTACAGGCCAGCCACAAAAAGGAACAAAGCCAGGGCTCGTGAGGAACCACACACAAGGTTGGTCCCAGGTCTCCAAGCACATGATGAAACATACATGTGCAACACTCAAGAAGACATGCGCATATGTGCCCCTCACATACACACCACATATTCACATACATACATACATACATACTCACACACATGCACACAGGCCCATACATATATGTATATACACACATATATACATAATACACACACATACATGCACATACATACACACATACACACACACACATGCACAATTACACATACACTCACACAGTTTGCAGACTGCAGCCAGCAGAGAGCTGTGACCAGAGATGTATGTCCAGTGAGACTCAACTTTGTTGGCTTTGAAGAAGGAAGAAGGAAGCTTTTCATCTGTGTAATAAGATACTTTAGACATGGGAATTTGTAGACAAGAGACACAGCCCAGCATGGGCGACCAGGACTTTCCAGGTCACAATCACAATTCCATGTGTATACATGTGGGGTGCACATGTGTGCATGTGGAGGCCAGAGGCAGACAGTAAGTGTCCTCCATCCCACGCCATCTTGTATTTTGAGACAGGAGTTTCTTACTGAACTTCGAGATCACTGGTTCAGTAAAACTAGCTTGTCAGAGAGCCCCAGAACTCTGCCTGTCCCTGTATCCTCGGCATTAGGAAGACGGGTGTGTGGCACATGCTCCTGGCTTTTGACGTGGGTGCTGGGATCATGCTTGTGTAGCGACCACTTTATCAGCTGAGCTATCTCTCCAGCCCCAGGGCATGATGCCTAACCATCATTTAATTATCATTTAATGCCTACTTCATCTCAATACACACACACACACACTCACACACTCACACACACACACTCACACACACACTCACCCCTCACATGTACCTTATATGATCAAAAGGAAGAAGAAAAGCAGAAATGATGCCTCGTCACTTCTCAGGCCTCATTTCAAGCTTCATCCCAGACAGTAATCGCAGCTGATGATCTCAGCAGTGCCTTGTCATAATAATCCCACCAACAAGCTGCCCTGAAGCCTGCAGCTGGAAGCAACAGGTATTTCTTTTGTAAGTATGCAATTAGGATAGGCTTGGCTGGGTGCAGCTTGCAGGGGCTCTGCTCACGCATGACCAGTGGGAAGATGACAGGCAGGTGACCTCTCCCTGTCCCCCACAGCAGCTTGGCATTTTCCTGTGGCCGTGGGCAGCAGCAGCAGTCAGATGAGTAGGAATGTATACAATCCTTTCTAAGTCCCTAGTGTGAACCGCATCTCCTAAGACACCACTGGCTAAAACATGTCACTTGGGCAGGCTTAGGACCAAGTGACCCTTCAGTGGAGGTAAATGGGAAGCAGTGGCTAAAGGCACTGATGGGGAGAATGAGTGTGTGAGAATGTGGGTGCATGCTTGTGTGCACACAAATGTGCATGAGAGGGTATTTGTGAGAACAGGTGTTACCTGTGTGTGTGTGTGTGTATGTATAGAATATGGTTATAGAGGCAGATAATCTAGTATAGAAAGGCAAAGCATGAGAAACCAGAGCATCTTCACTGGACCTTTGGTTAAGCACCTACTGAATACCTGGATCTCACCCAGGACACATGGAGCGAACCATCCCCCTTACAGGAACTGCCTCTAACAGGCTGTCTGCAATGAGTGCTTACAGTGCTTGCTTATGGGCTGCTCTCCTCCAATGGGCCAGAGTTCGGTCGGGTACTAAGGAGACACTGGCAGGTTGCACAGGGCATGTCTGCACACAGTGATCCTCTGCCCAGTAGTGAGCATAATGCATAGCCCTGTCTAACGTATGGCAAAGCTAAGGCCCAGCAGGACTCAGCTGTGTGCACGTCTGGCCTCAAGATGCCAGTCTCCATCTAGCTCCCAGCAGAACCCTGTGTATCCCAGGGCACCAGACTGCATTTGTTCTCTGATCTATCTGGTGTTTGCATGCCTCCTATGTGCCAGGCAGAGTTCCCATCTTAGAAACGATGCATGGAACCTCTGTGGCAGCATCCATCACACACACCAAAACCTCATGCCCTCTGACCTCTGCCCTGGCGTGAGGTCATCGCGGTTGACGACACGAGGTAGCTCCTTTAAACGATGCTGGCAACAGCAGCCTCCCGCCTCCCATGCCCTTCGTCTTCATTACTGCAGCCTCTGCTTCGCTTCAGCCGCGGGTCCCCGGCCTTTTACTTACCTTCACAGAGGTTCCATGCCATTAGCTGCTCACTCTTCTGGTCAATTACATGAGGTTAGCGCTCCTGCGTACAGCACCCTCCCCAGATGCCGCCGCAGCCGAGGCTGCCAGGGGTGCCGGCTCTGCTCCTTAAGAAGTGAAGCGATCCAGAGGAGACAAGAGCTGGGTAGCTGGCTGTGTGGCCCGCGTGGAAGGAGCGAGCCACAGATGGATGTTGACTGTGGATTTAGTTCAACAAATCATACTTGAGCATGACGAGAGGCTAAGCTAATGGTTTAGCGGTGGCACCTCGCTGCGAGGGACGGCAAACCTCAGGGAAGCTGTTTTACTAAAACACAGCTGTCACCTACGGGATGAAACCTCCGGCGGTCTGGTGTGCACTTGCCGGACCCAGATTCTGATCTTGCTGTGGGCAAAGACTGTAGATTGCTCCAGCAGCATCTGAGTGAGGCGATGCCCGGGTAGGAAGAGGAGAGGGGGATAAACGTGAGGATGAATTAGCTGAACAAATGAAGAAATCCCTGATGTTTCGTTTGCACACCAGGCGGGGGGTAGGGGGGCAAGAAGCACACAGTTATCATGTCTGCTGCCCACGTTTGTAGTCTCTCATCTAGATCTAACTGTACTTTTCTTGACTTGGCCCAATGATCCTCTCTTTATAGAAAAAGACCGCAAGATGGAGAAATTGCTTAGGGTGGCAAGCCAAAGGGCAGGGTTCAAACCAAAGGCTTGCATTTCCCTAAGGCTTGTGAGCTCCCACTTCTAGAGACAATGCCCTTGTCTGACAGTGCAGAAACGGAGGTGGGGAGAAGGGATTTAACCACACGAGTGAGGACAGTGAACAGGACAATGAGTGGGGCCCCGATGTCCTGTACCAGACAAATGGATGCATGTATGGCTGAGGGAGCCTGGAGTCACCAGGTAGTGTGTGAGCTCAGTTGGGAAGTATGACGTAGGGATTCCGTGGCCTCTGGTAGGTGCTTAGAACATGTGATTCTAGTCTCCTTTCCTTGCAGGTCTGCTGACCCCCGCCTGGGTGCTGCTCAGTGCTCAGACTCCAAGACCTCTGGGTTCAGCATCTCACCGAGCAGAAGGTGTCCTTGGAAGACCTTTCCCCCAAGTGATGCTTTGGCCAGAACACAGTGCAACTAGCGGAGATATTCTGAAAGGGAATCAGGTCGCAAGGTTGGCTAACAGGCTCGCTCACCTTTTGGTCTGAGAAAGTTCAGCTCTGTGTGAACCTTGGGTCAAGGGGGAAGCTTTTCTAACCATGGGAAAGGAAAGACAAACTATCAAAGCAGGAAACTTTCTTGGGGAGCTAGGGGTTTGTGAAAAATTAATGAGTTAAAAAACTCATCAGAGCTTGGTGGCGGGGTGGGTAGCACACACCTTTAATCTCAGCACTCAGGAGGCAGAAACAGGCAGCTCTCTGTGAGTTCAAGGCCAGCCAGGTCTACAACGTGAGTTATAGGCCAGGCCAGGGCTGTTACACAGAGAAACCCTATCTCGAAAAAACAACAACCACACACACACCCCGATGAAAGGAAAAGGAAGGAGGAGAAAAAGAAGTTTATCAGAATACCCCAGGGAGGCACCCATGTGCCAGGGGAGGAGGCCACTTTCTCCACCACATTCTGCCGCCTTCAGTCTCTGTGGGGAGACAGAAGCTCGCCTGGAGGGAGAGAGAGTCGCCACACTGAACGCTTCCTGTATATGGATACTGCATGTAGTATTTATGCAGCACTCACTGGATGCAGAGCCAGGGCTACTTCATACATCACAGAAGTTAACTTACTTAGTCCTCATAGCACCGTCTTTGTACAGAGGCAGGAAGAAGCACAGAGCAGAGAGGTGCAGGAACTCGCTCAGTGATGAACAGCAGGCATACAGTGAGCCCAGAGTTGAGGCTCCTGTCTATGCTTTGGGTTGGGTACTCACTGGGATAGGCCAAAAACGTATTTTCCAGCAACTGCGAAGGTGGTTGTTACCTGTTTCTGCTTTACAGGTGGGTGATCTGAGACACATAAAGACGAAGTGACATACCCGAGCACAAGTGGGGATGTCTTGAGCGAACCCCAATTTAGATTAGTGATCTCAACGAGACAAGGAGAACAAACACAGACGAAAACAGCTTTCCCCGGTGAAGTGGCTCATGGTCAAGTTTACAGAGACCACCCCAGAAAGGAGAGTAGGTTGAACTGCGTGCAGCGAGGGGTCTGGCACGCAGCCCACAGGGACCCGTGACACTCTAGAGGGCTTGACTCAGACAGGCTCTACGGAATGAAAATCGAGTCTTGGAGGCTGAGCAGCCTTGGCGTGCGCTCTGGCTGAACCCCACCCTCATGTGCCAGAGGCACCCTCATGTGCCTCTGACGACTAAACGCACCCCTGGCACCCTCTTTCTTGTGCCCTTGCACAGGGACTTCCAGTGATCAAGAGCTGGCTTATGGACTTTGCGTAATGTCTGGCAAGCTTGGTGTAAAACTAACAGCTGATGCTTGATTTAGAGTAGGAGAGGGTGGCCGGGCAATGAGCAGAGAGATGCTAGCTTCCTCAGCCTCCCTCTTTCATGGTGGCTCAGCATCCATTTCCATGCACATGTAAAATGCGCGTGTGCACACGCATACATGCATGCATGTGCGCACGCGCGCGCACGCGCACGCACGCACACGCACGCACACACACACACACACACACACACACACACACACACACAGGCCTGCCAACCCTGATCTCTCCAGCTTACTATAGCAGGGGTGGTGGTAAGGGCTGGCTTGGCAGCATATCTCATACCTGTTCATCCCCTGAAACAGTACTAAGGTGTGCCAGCATCACTCTGGTGGACCTCTCCATCACTGCTCACTTGGCCAAATCAGATTGACCTCTTGCCCTCTGGAGACCTAGCTCAGTCCGTTCTCACATCCCTGACTCGCAAAGACTTCGGGGGGGGGGGGGAGGGCAAGGCTGTGTTGACAGGGTGGCTCGCAGTAACTGCCCAGAGGCTCGGCTTCCCATCCATCACCATCAACAAGCTGCCGCCACTTCCACGTCTCCCCAAGCATTGTCTTGGCTGTGGCTCCTCTGCAGAAAAACTGCAGCTTCCCTATCCATGGGCAACAGCAATCTGGCATTCCAAAGATGCTCATTATGGTCCAGATAGTTGAGGTTTCTGGTGAGGCCTCAGCACTGGGGGATGCTTCACTAGCTGTTATCAGTTTAGAACAGGACTGGCAGCTGAACACAGGTGGGGCCTAGGGGGATCTTGATCTTGGAGTTGACCCCGGAGCCATGAACTGTGTTTCCCAAGCTCCATGGAGCTGGGCTTCAGTTTTCTCTCTGTGAAACGGGAAGAACAGTGAAGCTTGTCTTCCCAGATTATTGGAAAAAATGTAATTTGATTATAACAAATGTATCATTCTGGGCATAGTACTTACATGGAGCAGACTTTCTATAGATGGATATACATTTTAAATCACAAATATACACAGTCAGTATCTAGTCCCATGGAAACCAAGGATTTCCTGCTCAAGTCAGACCTCCTACGCATTTTCCAGGGACTTTGTGGAGGGTAACATATTAAAGCCACATGCAACTGACGACTTACCATGTTCTGGGTCTGTTCCAGAGATCTCACTTGGGTTTCAGCATTCAGTCCTCACGTTTACCGCCCTCATGTGGCTCTAACCCCATCTCATAGGTGGGAAGAAAGAGATTCTGCTAGATGAGATAATCTACCCAGTTCTGGTTCGTACTGGATTCCAGTTTTCTGTTTCCAGAATGCCTTAGCCCTGCTCACATATTTGGTAGGAGACAGTTATATGGTGATTGTGCCATTTGGGGGTTTTTACAGAGCAGTAATATCATGGCCATACCTGGTGTCACTGAGCAACAGTTATGTGTCACAGATGGCTCTCCCAAGAATTTGCTCCTTCCTGAAGAGCTTTTGGACTGGTCTTCAACCCACAACTCAGAAGCCCTCTCCTCTACAGGTCCAGGGAGTCCCCTGGTTCTTGGCTTTTGTAGCAGCCCATGGCTACCTCTGTTCCTTTCTTCAAGTGCAGATGCCAAGGGCCAGAAATTCCCCCAGGGCATTGTAGGGGTGTGCCAGGGTGGTGGTGATCTGATTTGTTCCCTGCAAGTCTCTCAATAGTCATCTGTGCAGGCCGCAGCTGCTGCAGGTCCGATGGCTGAGGTCCCACGAAGGCCATCTGCTCAGCCCTTTCTCATCCCTAATCCACCTGCATAAGGCACAGCTGCATAGTGGGCAGCCCAAGGAGGAGATCCAGAGAGGAAAGACAGACAGACAGACAGACAGACAGAAAGCACAGAGCAGCTGCAGGTCTGGGCGGCTGGATTTTCTCTTCTAATCTGAGCTCCTGCAGCCAGTAGGGGAGAAATGGCATGATTTACATGACAAGGGCCAAAGGAAGGAATTACAGCAAATCAGTTCTGCAGGAAGAGATAAAGCCCCTTGTTTAATGTCCGCCTCCGTGAAAGGTGGGAATGCAATTCTCACAACGTCGGGTGACGCTGATGAAGACTGACACTCATTATTACTATCATGATTTTCCCTTCTCTTCTCAGACCTGAGAAACACACAGCAATAAGGACTGGGTTGTCGAATGTCATTGTAAACAGGCGGCTGAAGAAAGAAAGCCAGGGCCGTGGAGGCTGCCCCAAGTGCACTGGCTGGAGACAGCACAGGCACACTCCCTGGCAAAGCTCAAGGGGGTCCCTATCTGGTCCTTGTCAGCCACACCAAAGCTTTACATCCTTCGGTCCGTCACCTTCCTCTCTAAGTTTTTCTCCTTGCAATGTCCCACTTGTCTTGAAGAAGCCCTTGTTTAATAGGTCAGAAGGTGGCCTACATTGTCTCCTCCTTGACACTTTATGTTGGTGACTTAAGGCCTCTGACAAGTCACACAGGGAAGAAGCTGGCTTACTCATTTCACCTTGCGTTTCCTTGGATCAGCAAGCTTGCCTTGTTCCTTTTGAGACACAGTCTTGCTCAGGTTGGACACAAACTCCTCATTCTCCTGTCCTAGCCTCCCGAAGGCTGAGATTACAGACACCCACCGCCACATGGGACAGGCCACCTTGTTCTGTTGAGGGACAGATTCTCTTGTTGCCATGCATGTTATATAAATTGCCTGCCTTCCAATAAAGCTTTATTTAAAGTAACAGTGAGTCAGTCATAGTTTGCCAGTCTTTGCTCTGGCCACAACCTTCCCTTTATAGGAGACCAGCACACAGGCATTTCAACAGAGCAGGTAGGAGCACAGGTCCAGACTCCAGCCATACCAGTCAGTGAGTCAATCCTTGGGTGGACAATGTAAGCTGTGCCACAGTTCCCAGCATAGAGCTGTTACTCCTGAGTGGTGAAGGCCAAACTGTTTGAAAGAACACACATAAGGCACATAACACAGCTTTTGGCCTGTAGTGCTCAAAAGCTACCCATGTCTATTGGGAACAGACTGCTTTTCATCAACATTATTGCCCAGCAGTCTCATATCCCTTAAACTAGCAGAGGCAATCTTCCAAAGGTCGTTCATGGCTGGAGCCTGAAGAGTGGGAAGGCCTCGCTACTGATATCAAAGAGAGTTCCCCAGCAGAGGCTCTGTCAGAGGTTCTAGACTTCCATTATCGACTTCCCATCAGAGTTGTAGCCTCCTAACATCTCTGTCTCAGAAGTTGCTCTAACCTTCTTTCAGTTTGGGTAATAATGCCCTACACAGTGACTGGGCTATCAAATAAACTGTGGCTCACTGTCCAGACTCAGCCCCAGCCAAGCAGCCTGGGTGACCTGGCGTAAACGTCCACCCCAGCTCTGAGAGCTGAGATCTTGGCAACCTAGAAGCATGCTGAGTAACTGTTCTGTGAGTGAAAATCCACCTCTTTTTAAATTACCTCATTATAGGAAGGCCGTGTTTCTAAAGAAGACATTGTATTTGCCTCAGAATTTATGACCTGACAAGAAAAGGGGACTAGTCGTGAGACAGGGGAGCAGAGCTGGTAATGTCTCTGGAGGCTGCAGGAGTGCAGAGCTTAGGAGAAGCATGTACACACAGACGTGTCCGTGCACACACCATCATAGGAGTTAGGGACCAGGGCAAAATCAAGGCCCTTTGTCTTGATTGGTCAAGGCTTGATTGGGAAGAGCCTGCTTGCACTTCACTTTGCATGCTACTTCAAGTGCAACCACTCAGAGGGCGTCCACTGACTGTAATATTTGATGCACTGGCCACTGAGATTGGGTACCCTCTTCCTTTGTCTCTGCTTTCTTCTGCTAGGCTCTCATGGTTTTCCTGATCAAACTCTGGCTGGAATGCTCTGCATTTTGACATTGTCCCCGACTGGCTCTTCTCCCTACTGTCACTCACATGGAAACTCCCCACTAGGGCTGAGGAGATGGCTCCGTGGGTGAAGAGATCACTGCACAAAGGTAAGAACTCAGTCAGGATTCGCCGACCCAGGTAAAGCTAGGGATGGTAGCGTGCATTGCAATCTCAGGGCTCCCATGGAAGGTGGAGACAGGAGAGTCCCCAGAAGGTTCGTCGGCCAACCAGCCAGGTGTATACCACACAGCAGCAAAAACAACAAGGTGGAAGGTGAGGTCTGACACTTGAGGTGGTCCTCAGACCTATCCCTGCATACCAAGGTGTGTGTGTGTACATAGGCACACACACAGACACACACAGACATACACAGACACATACACACAGAGAGACAGACAGACACAGACACACACACACACAGACACAGAGGCATACACACACAGACACACACACAGACACACACAGACATACACAGACACATACACACAGAGAGACAGACAGACAGACACACACACAGACACATAGGCATACACACACACACAGACACACACACAGAGACATACACACACAGAGAGAGACACACACACACATAGACATACACAGACACATACACACAGAGAGAGACGCACACACACACACAGACACAGAGGTATACACACACAGACACACACACAGACACACACACAGAGACAAACACAGATACATACACAGAGAGAGACACAGACACACAGACACACACAGAGAGACACACAGAGACACAGAGACATACACACACAGAGATACAGAGACACAGACACACACAGACACATACACACACACCCTCCATCAGCCATTCCAGCTTTGGGTCTGCCTGCACCCTACCCTGTGTATCTGAGGCTCTCCTTGTTGATGTGCAGTATGCTTTCTCAGTTTCCTCCCCCCTTCTCTCCTCACCTTCTCTAATTGATCCTAGACATCTGTCTGATTCTGGCTTTTCTTAGTGGCACACAGAAGATTGCCCTTCAGAGCTCTCCAAGGATTGTGGGTGGTCTGGGACACCTTCTAGGAAGGCTCCTTGCTTAGAGAGACCAGTGCTGAGTTAGTCCTGATGTTTGCTGCCTGGTGTTTGTACTGACGGTGGTTGCAGCTTGGCCAAACCCTGGAACAGGAAAGCCACCAATGTGCTGAAGGCTGTGCCTGGTAGGAAAGCCCAGGCTCAAAATCTCAACCTTAGTTCTCTTCTTAGTTAAATAATATCATTGCAAGACCCTCAGCCATTCTCAGCTTCTGGGTTCTCATAAGGAAGACTCAAGGGTCTAGTCCCAGCTTTTCCATGCCTGGGAAATGGTCATGAGAATGTCCTGAGGTGACAGGCTCACAGAGAAGCCCAGACTGACTTTCAGGCACCACACACACACACACACACACACACACACACACACACACACACACACACACACACACACCCACAAAAAAACACATGGAGCCATTGAGTGTCAGGACCTATAATGGGGATTCCAAGGAAGGGAATTTCAAAGGACGTTGTTGGTGCTGTAGGTGAGAAAACAGACTTAGAATGAATTGACATGGCCAAGGCCATGTAAACCCAGTTTTCTGTCTTGATCGTGAAGTTCAACCTTCTGTTCTGCCACGATGCCATGAGATGGGCATTTTATTATTTATGTGACTGGAAGGTGGGCGCCATCCCCCAGGGAAGAGCAACCCCACTCAACAAATTCTTCTTGATCAACTGTTTGAGTGTGTAAGATGTATTAAATAATGTAAGGGAAATGGATGCTGCCCCGGGCCCTCTGGAAGGCTTTGGTGCAACGCAAGCAAGAAGCATTGGACAGAAAACAGGAGGACAGACACAAACATGAGAGACCCCATGGTAATGCCCTCACTGATGCTCCCTGGCCAGCAGGGATGGGGTCTGCCTGAGCAACTGGCTCGCCTTAGGATGTCCTTTGATACTGTCCCCCAAGGTGACCATTCCATTGTAACCCAACACTGGCTATATTGACCTCCTTATGAGCCGTTCTGAAGACAAAAGATGACCGAGAATGCAACCTGATGGGGGAGGGCGGTCTCTCTCCTCCAAGCTCCCCCTGATTTCACAGAGGGGCTTGAGGAGGCAAAGCCAAACGGGATGGAAGAGAGAAGAGAGATGGAAAGGTAGCAGCCACTGGCACTGCAGGGACTGAAAAGACGCCCTGACCCAGGGATAAGGACTGGGAGAGGCCTGGGCACTGGTGCTTCACGCTAGACAGGAACCTGACTACCATCCCAGGTGCCTTATATCTCAGCCGTAAACCCCTAGTGTTTCAGGAAAAGAGACTCTTCTTGTTACGTTCCCCGTAGCTAACATGTCCTGCAGAGCTATGGCCACTTGAGGCATAGCTTGGGGGAAATATTGTATTTCCTTTTCATAAATAAGGACACTGGGTACCGGGGCCCGAAGCAGAGGCATGGTCACTGGAAGCATGGATACATATAGAGATAAATACCTATGGATACTTATAGGCTGGCAGAAAGGGAAGGGCGGGGCAAAGGGTAGGAGAAGGAAGGGAAGTGGAGGGGAGGGAAGAGGAGGAGAGTGGAGGGCTGAGGAGAGGGGAGAAGGGAGGAAGGGAAAACGGTGAGAGGGGAAAGTAGGAGGGAACGGCAGGGTTCCAGATCCCAGCTTACAGCTCCCATTGTGAGTGCTGTCTGTATGTGCAGTGGTACTTTTTGCCCATAAAGTAAACAACATAAGAGTGTTATACTGTTTTGTTGTTGTTGTTGCTTTGTTCTTTCTAGAAAGGGTTTCTCTGTATTGCTTTGGAGCCTGTCCTGGAACTCCCTCTGTAGACCAGGCTGGCTTCGAACTCACAGAGATCCTTCTGCCTCTGCTTCCCGAGTGCTGGGATTAAAGGCATGCGCCACCAACGCCCGGTTGAGTGGAGGCAGCAATCGGCACTCAGCCTCAGGCGGCAATCTGGAGTGTCCAAACAGAGCCAGGCTAACAGGCAAGCCTTTGGAAGGGGCAGCCTCATTCCATGTGAGCACACTCACTGAATGCAGCTAGCATTTTTATTTCTCAAGAGAAGCAGGCCAGACAGAAGTGACAGCCTGCCTCTTGAAGAGCCATTCTGCTTTAGGGTTGAATTTCACCCCTGTGCCTCCTATGTCTCTGGACTACAACTTTCTCTCCTTGCCCCAACCCTTTGGGCCTGTCTCCTCCATGGCTGGTCAGCAGGGGGCAGAGCTTTCCCCAGGCCAGCCTGCTTTGCTTTGAGGGACTCCCCACAGGGATAAATTGGGACAACAGGGTTTCACAAACAGCAGTTCTTGACATAAATATTGCCAGGCTCAGGCTAATGTGATATCATGGGCCTGTAATCCAAACAAAATAGACCATTGTCCTGTGATTATTTCTGCTCTGGACAAAAGCCTGTGAACACTTGGCTTCCCATTTTTTTAACCTCTGTATTTATGGGCCGTGTTAATTTAATTCAGCAGGCCCGCCTTCCTTGCCTTCAAAAGCGGCCTTTATTTGCATTGCATGATTGCCTGCCTTGCTGGTCTGCTGCTTTTCACTGAGAAGGGAAGCTTTGTCCTCTCACTTCTAAGAAAGGAGAGGAGAGAAAACCACCCCAGACTCTTTGACTTGTCACAAAACCTCCCCAGCAGCTTTTACATGCTCACTGCTCATGTCCCAGAAGCACACACCCAATCCCAGAATACCCAGAGTGGTCCAGGACAGACCCACCCCCTCATCCTGGAAGATGCGAGTGTAACCAGGGAACCCAGTCCTCCCTTCTCCGTGCTAACCCTGGGCCCAGCTGACTGTTACCAGAGCTGCTGGCTGGCCTGCTGAGCAGATGC